CCATATGTGAGCATTGATGCTAATAGGTTACCTGATACTTTTCAATAACGAGTTACTCAGTCGCAAGGCATTTTCAGCCATCAGGTGTACATCACAATGAACTGATAAACCAGAAGTCCTGGTCATCCACCAAGCCCACTTGCAACGAACCACTGAGTAGGCTCCACTGGAATAAGATACCAGGAAAGAGTCACGGGGCTGGCGGCCGATGAGCATGCATTGAGAGCGGGAGACTAAATCCTTTTCGAGAAAATGGTAGCTCTCAAGGTATCTCCGCCTCGTTGGGTGCGGTTTGCCTGAGGCCTTGGACCTTATATTTGTTCTTGCCTTTGACTTTTGTCGCCAGTATGATGAATCTTGATTCAGCGCAAATCTGGGTTTTTATGCAATTATTCGTGGCTCTCGTGGGGCTCGGTTGTAACTGTGTACACTGCAAGACTTGGCCCCCTGTTGGGTCGCGCTTAATGGCACCAACCAACCATGCACTAAACTCTACCAATGAGATTTCTTGTCAAACCAACGAACTTGTGTTCCAGGAGGCAAAGCCACAGTCCACTGCGCCGCGAATTTGTAGCCGTAGGTACTTTAGCAGGGACATGGGATGAATGGACTGCCGATTCAGTGTCCAGTCGGCCACCACACAAGTGTGGTGTGTACCACTGCCACCGGCGGCCCGGATGCTTGGCCGAAATCCCTCGCCCAGTTCAACCACCACTTCATGTAGTACTTACCAGTCTTGATTAGGGTTCCAAGGCATTCTTTTCGATGTTTCTCTTTCAGGCTCCATAGTTGAGGCACGGCTAAGATGTGTGTGAGTCGAGAGGCTTTTGGTTAGACAGTGACCGCCCAAATACTTGGGGTGGACCTGTACCAGTCTAGTCTTCTTTTCCATGACCAATCCGCCTTATTTGTTGGCCATGATCAACGCCAGCCCGTGTAGTAGGGTTCTTGTCAGAAGCCGCACCCTATCTATTCAACACTTGAGAGCAGCATTGAGGACCGCCGCTTGACTACCGAAATGCAGGACAGCATCTACCTGCCCAGATATATATACTGGATGCCCACACCACCTTCTCACATTTCTTTCAGCGTCTCTTCACACATCGAGATACATACTCGCTTTTGGCTCTCCGTCTAAGTCACCGATTCCAGCATCTTCATCGACTCGCAGTATTACTCGAGACAACATACACTATCTATCTCCTTTTATTGGCAGTCTTTCGCGATAGATAGTCGCTCACGACACTGGAAACTATGTGCAACTGGGAGCAAACCGTCTATGCTTGCCAACACCGGAGCAAAGTTCGTAGGCAAGCATACTCCTGCACCGTCTACACTCGTTACATCTACGGCGAATGCCGATTCGACAGTCGCCACGACAAGGTATTCAAAGTCATCAGCTATGAGGACTGCGAAGATTGCAGAAGGTTGTACGAGTTCGTCAACTTCTAGAACATAGTACACACTGGCATACAGCGCAGAAGAGTGTATGATTATGGTATGTTAACCATGCATTGGTACATATTTGCTGTCGATATGGGGCGGATCGACTGATCATGTAGCAGGACGCAATGAACTTGTACAACATGGCTAGAATCTGCATAACGGGACGGCTTTCTCGGAGCATCAAATCATTACGATCGGCACTTATACAGGATAGACGGGGATTCAGAGAGTTTTTAGATACTGCATCAATACAGAACAGTCTCGCGAGGGATCTTTGTATCATACCACATTATGTCACGCCACATAGGCAATTCTTGACTTTCGTTAGGCATCTTTTATTTCATTGGCAATTTCTTTTGTTTTTAGAGGTACACAGCTTAGATACTTAGAAATATTACAATCATCTACAATGAGACTGCCATTTTGATTTACAACCAACTTCGATTCATTCATGCAGTCAAGGAGCACCTGCTTGAAAAGGAGCCATCTACCTGCATCGCACCAGACAAATACGTCACTACTTCTGATATTGACCACGATATTCTTTCGCCCGGAAAAGCCGACTCACTCGTACGAGGGTTTCGGAGCTCACCTTGAGGTTATTCTTATTGCTTGCGGCGTTAAAAGCGCCACTCGGAAACAGCGGTGGGGGGCATCCAGCATTGGAACCTCCTGCCAAGCTATCGTCTCCCAACAACAATGGTGGTTCTGAACACCAATTGCATCTCGAACCACGTCACTCCCATGTGCATGAAAGTTATGTCCAACCTTTTAGACCTATCAAGAGCCCCGGGGGGATGATTTGCTGGTGGTACGACGAGTGGTGAAAGAGATGGGTAGGCCCCTCCGTGGGCGAGTCCCGGATCCGGGCCAGATCACTCGGCCCGGTCGTTGTTTCTCGGACCCGCCCCGCACAGCCGAGTACCGGACACAGCAGTTATCTCCGGACTTGCCAATACGAATACTGTTTTTGCCCACATAAGCCTTCACCAAGGCCGTCATGTCGGTCTATTGCAGACGAACATGTTTTTTTAAATACATAACAGATACCAAAAAGACGCCACTCGGGTCAAAGCAAAGGAAACAGTGAGCATCTTGTGCTCGAAGCGCCAGTGTTGGTTCATTGACTGTTGTGTTAGCGGTTACATTGGCGATGCCACTCCCAAATTGGTAAGGCCGCCAATCAACCCCTGATCCAACGTGCTGGAATGGAGCGCTGTGCCTCGTGCCAGCTTCCCCAATGTGTCGACGGATTCATTTTCCCAGCCGAGTGGGATGGTTCCCAGAATCAATCAAGCGGTAAAGATGTGGCAAAGTCGGTTTGGCTTCCATGCTTTCATCCTTCGATGGTCTGCTCCCGCCTTGTTTCGAATGAGCATCGTCTCAGCCGACTGCCGGCGGGGTCAAACACACCATCAGCCACAGCCTACAGACCTAGAGATGAGCTGCAGCATTACATCTAATTCCATCATCATGCCCCAATCGGTGGAGAATTATGGGGCCTTATCTTTCCGTGGCAGCGTGTGATACCACTACCTAGCTCTCACGACACAGTACACATCACAACACATTACCTAGGTATATGTCGCATCTTTGCACGCGTCAAGTAACGTCGAGCATGGTAGCCACCATCATTAGGATTTCCACGGCAGGCAAGAGTCCTGCTTGCAAGCATTGCGATCAAAATCAAAACAGAATAGATATATTAGCGGGCGGTGTTTGGCAACAAGTGCCACATGCAATCCAACGCGAGCATTCAGGTCACAAAATCCCCTTGACGTCAGCGTAAGAGACTTCGCAGGGCCGCCCCCAACTACATTGTCAAAGAGAAATGAGATTGACAAACGAGACCACCAACAAAAGTCCAACAAGCACCACTTCCGCCATTATCTATCTCTGCCGAGGGCCGCAATTTCGATGTCTCGGCTGGATGCACGTAATATTCCAGTTGTCCTGTACGACTGTGTCGACAAAACAAACCTGGGGAAGAAGGCTGTACCTGTTTCAAATGGACCGCGTAAGGCTGATGCAGTCTTTAGCGACATGGCCATCACCAGCACCCATGCGGCACATTAACGTCCTCGTAGAAAACGTGTCTCCTCTCCCGGGAATTCCGCAGTAACTTAATCTCGGCCATCCACTTGGCCCCCTTTGCCGCTCACTCCACATCCCCAGTATCACCGCATTTCGAAACCTGGTATTCCCGGCCACGTCGTACCTTCGGTTGTCAGTTGTCGGTGGCCGGCCTCGGTGGTGCGTAATCCCCAGCCTCCGGGCCACCTCCATGCAAACCTCACAATTAGAGTCTAACGCCACTTTTACTAACACTAGCAGGAGATGGGTTGGAAACATAGTTTCGTCTAATCCTTCATCTGACCTTCTTATTTGTTGTCGTACGGCCACGGATTTCCGAGCCCCCTTCTCGGCTCCGGCTTTGTCATACACCTTCCTTTTTGCTATCGGCAGATAGATAGGATACTTGTCCATGACCTGCGCCTCATGGAAGCTCCCGGGCTCTCACACCAGCTGATGAGTGGGTCTGGCTCAAAAGCACATTTCTGTCTTAGAGGGCACCGAAGTTTCACCTTGTCGTTGGACCCTGAACCATACCTAAGCAAAACCGACGAGATTTATGCTTCTCTCACTTGCCATATGAGGTCGTATCTTGACGATTGACATTAAACATTCTGCAAAGGGTAAGGTTTCCGCTCACCGATTCATACTCTGTAAAAAGCCGTGTTTGAGAGAATCCGCTCAATGCATTCAACTGCGCACCTTGGGGCACATGATGAAACGGCGGCATAACGAAACGGGATCCTGCGAGTCATCGAGAGCTTGAAAGCTTCGGAGGGATTCTCGGTAGAATCCACCAACATTGTGCAACCCACCCAGGTTCAAATAGTGCCGCTACCCTTCCCCGTGGGGGCTGACTTGTTTAGTTCGGATGGAAGATAAATAGGGCTGTCTGCAATGGTCGCACACAGAGAGGCGTAACTATCCCCAATTCTCAGGAACGAGAAACAAGCTTTAGGCAACTAGATAGACTTCCAAGTGAGCCGTGTCTTGTGTCACGCAATGCTATGAGCAAAGACAAAGTTATCCTGCCTCGTTTTTCTGAGGGACCAAGACTCCTGCTGAAAACCCGGCGCCCCATCACCACCGGGCTCCGGGGCGGACGGTACCAGCCCGAATATGACCCTTTTTTGATACTTTTTACGGCAAAATTCGACTCTATGTAAACAATCATGCGAGATGAAACAAGCAACCAGAATTCAAATAAATTTTACCGTCAAGTAAATTCTCTCAGTCATGCCTGAAAGGGAACTTGAATGTCTGTTTATAGCAAGGCTGACTATAATGATCACCACATGCCTTCCAGGCTGTCGGTTTATGTTATGATTCCAGATCATTACCTACTTAGGCAGACTGGGTGTTTCCATGATTCTACACGTCGCCATCATCCTCGACAAAGTCTAATCTCCCACCACCGCATAGGCAAGTCCAAACAAGATATCACTATCTGAAGAGTATTAGCATCTAATCAAGGTTACTAGGGGCGTGTGGCTCAGTTGGTAGAGCGTTCGCTTAGCATCTTCACTCATCAGGAAATGCGAAAGGTCCTGGGTTCGATTCCCAGCTCGTCCAAACCTCCTAACATTCCATTATCGAACGTTCCAATAATTCTATCGGGCGTGTGGCGCAATTGGTAGCGCGTTCGCTTTGCACCTCGCATCTCATGCGAAAGGTCTTGGGTTCGATTCCCAACTCGTCCACGTAGATAATCCTTTGCCTGATGCCGCTTGGCATGCTTTTTGTACTTTGATTCACCTATGCGCAACAAACACATGCACTCACCAACCCTGCTTCCACAGCCACAATGTAGTAAACTCTCTCTCTTTTTATGAATGCATGGTGGTATCTGTACCGTGTAAAGACCAAGCTGAGACCTATGTTGTTCGAAAGAGATAGAGCGGTTTGGCTTCATGTATTCAGGGGTAACTCAGCTCCTATAAATTGTGCAAATCACCCACCACCATCAACAAACCCTCGCACTCGAGTCAAAGATATAAACTCACATAATACAAATACTCTGAAAGGTAGCACGTCTTGGGCCTCTGCAGGAAAGCTTTTTCAGTCATCAGCGGAACATGCACCCCTGATCGGACCGCATTATTAGACACCGCATATAAACAAGCAACAAACGAGCAGAAACAAGCACAAACAAGCCTCGGATGGAGTACATCAGCTGCTGCTAGTCATAATTGGCTGTGTCCGCATTAGCCAGATTGCCTACCCCAGGCTCTGCCGAGTTCGTCATTTAGGCTACGTCCGAGGAATAATTGTCGATCAACGACCCGCGAGCCGCAATTGGAAAAGGTGTGCCAAGGCCCATTTATACCGGGCCCTTCCGGTCCTCCTCCTCACTTCTTGAGAGGACTAGGCTGATGATCTGAGGGGTGGGCTTGGATAGATAGTTGAACTTAAAAAGTAGTTACTTGAAGACCTCGCCACCGCCGTGTTTTTTCATCTTCTCTCAAATCAAGCTCGGAGTGTGTGATCGCCTGAGAGAGACCCCATCACAATGTTGTCCCAAGTAACTCTCGTATCTCTCCTGGCCGGCGCCAGCCTTAGCTTGGCAACCCCAGTCACCCCCCGCCAGGCCGCACAGCAAGTCGTCCGCATCAATTCCATCGAGAATGTCGCCGTCCGTCCCAACGGCCTCATCCTGGCCACCAACATGAATAGCGCAACTCTCTACTCGGTCGACCCCGTAGCCAAGACCTCCTCCACCGCCCTCTCCGTCTCTGGCACCAACGGCCTCTCGGGAATCGCCGAGTACCAGCCCGACCAGTTCGCCGTCATCGGCGGCGGCAAGTCCATCTACAAGGTTGACTTTACCTCGGGCACCCCCCGCTCCACCCTCATCAAGACCATCAGCGAGGCCCAGAACCTCAACGGCCTCGCCTACTTTGATAACTCGACCGTCCTCGTCGCCGACGCCGGCCGGGGCAACGTCTACAAGATGGACGTCAACACGGGTGTCTACTCCGAGGTCGCCCGCGACCCGACCATGGCCCCCAGCGGCGGCATCCCCTTTGGCATCGACGGCATCCGCTACGCCAACGGAACGCTCTGGTACACCAACATCTTCCGCAACTCGTTCCACAAGATCCCCCTCGACCCCGTCACGGCCAAGAGCACCGGCACCCAGACCACCCTCTGGACCAACCTCATGGGCGATGACCTCTGCTTCGGCCCCAACGGCAAGATCTACGTCACCACCAACAGCAGGAACTCGCTCGTCGAGGTCGACCCGACAGCTGCCAAGCCCAGCCCAGTCAGCGTGGGGACTGTGACAGGCAGCACGAGCTGCGCCTTTGGGCGGACGGACAAGGACAGGAACGTCGCGTACGTGGGTGGTGGGCAGGGCGTTTTTGCTGTTACTATTCGGATCTGAACAAAACGGGGGAAACCCTTTTCCTTAGTATAAAAAACCCAGAAAACATCCTGATGTACATATAAAGAGCAAAGAAAACGATTCAAGGCCTCTCATTCCTCCTGCAAAATCTTGACAAAATCCTCCAGACCCCTGGCGATAACTTCAGGCTGCTCCAACTGCGCAAAGTGCCCTCCTATTTCCTCCTCCCTCCAAAAGACCAAGTTTGAGTACTTTTCTATCCATGCTTTCGGGGTGGGGATGACCTCATATGGGAACCACATCATGCCCACCTTTTTCGGCGCCATCACCGGGAACTGCGCGTTGCTTGACGGCGGGGCCTGGCCGTTCAGAGCAAACGCCTCCCGGTAGGAATAAAAGCTGGTGTGAATCTTGCCGGTGTGCCAGTACAGCGCGACGCTGGCAATGATCTCATTCATGAGCTTTCGCGAGTACTGAGCTCCGCTGGGAAGGATTGTGTCTTGTGCAAAAGAAAGGGGGTCGGTCCAGTCGAGGTACTTCTCCCCTATCCAGGCCAGCAATGCAACAGGGTTGGCGGATAGGGCCAATCCGAGTGTCCCAGGTCTGGAAGCGGCCATCATTGCGTAGGCAGACCCGTCGTTGCGGAACCAGTCGCCTCTTTCTAGCCCCTTCTTGTCTTTCTCGCTCAATGTGGTGAAATCGTAGTCTTCTGGTGGCGGGACAGGGCTGTAGTTGACCAGCACGGCAGTGCAGTGTTCATATCGGTTGCCGAGAACGCGTGCGATGCGTGAGCCGATGTCACCTCCTTGGACTACGTAGTTCTTGAGGCCGAGGGTGTTGACCATGAGGGAGTCAACGGCGAAGGCAACGTCCTCCATGCCGTAGTTTCTGTCTGTGGGAAATTGGTCGGAGAAGCCAAAGCCAGGCAGAGAGGGCGCAATGAGATGGAATGGGAGTTGGGACGAGTCGGGATATTTCTCTCTGAGCAGGTTGAAGAGGGGTAGAAACTCCAAGATCGACCCAGGCCATCCATGCAGAAAGACGACTGACACGGCATTGGGGTTCTGGCTGAAGATTCCGAGAAACTGAATGTTGATCTGTTCACCTCTGTCATTGATAGGAACCGGGGCGGTAAAGTTGGGGAAGCTATTGATCTGGGATTCAACCAATCGCCTTGTCTTCGTTAACATCGTATCTTATAATGAGAGAAGAAAGGGAACGGGGCATATACCAGTCAAACTCATTCTCCCACACTCGTTTAGCTTCCCCAAGCCATTCTCTTCTCAGGCCCAACCTCCGACTGCCATCGGGAAGGGAATTTTCGTAGCATTCTCCTGGGATGGGGGATAGCTTGAGGAGAGTTTGGGTCCGGTCGAGCTGTTCTTGGGAAATATTGACGGCAAAAGGCGCTACTTCCTTAGGAAGCTGGACGATTCCGGAGGGTGAGCCCCAGGTTGAAGACAACATGACTGGAGGTGCAGAAACAAGAGGACTGATAGACTCGCGCTGAAACCCAGGATACGCATATGAGGTGCAATGGTAGTTATCAAGTTATATCCATCTAGATTTCAACGGCTATCGACAAAGACGGTGGGGCCAACGTCACCCCGCATGCATACCCGTTAGAAAGGGCGGGGGCAACAGCCGAGCCGAATTGATCGCCGTCATCCTGTAGCGCGAAGGGCGAGGTGTGGGCCTTGGGTGTTGGGATCCTGGAACCATATATGGCAAACATGGCGACGTGATATCGATATGCAAGACTGTTGTGTAAAACACACGCCCTCAAAGAGTTGTTAATAGGCTTTAGAAGATAGCGAATAGGCTTCTAAGCGGAGTTAATAGGCATCTACTTGTCCTTGGAATGCCTATCGGCTATCGTTTGAGGGATAAGTGCAGTACCTGTCTTTTTGTCCACAAACTGCATTGGAAACGAAGAGAATTAACGAGAATTAAGCTGGTAGAAGCGAAGGGTGACCATGAAACAATCCTTTTGGGGGTAGGGGCAGCCCACATATTGCTTTCCACAAGCAAGATAACCACCGAATTTGAGGAATCGAAGTCGCCAAAGAAGATCATCATCCTGACAGCTCTTGGCAGAGTGGCTTGCCAAGATGGATTCGGATCAACACGGCGCCCAATCATGTTTATTATAAAAAGCCACAGTGGAGCAATCGGAGGAACGTTGCGATGGACCCCGAGTCTGGGTGCGCCAACATCGTATTCTAGGCCCCATATGCAAACCCAAACCACCACCACGGCACAACCTTCATCATGGCCAGCCCGTTGCTAATGGAGGCGCATTGTTCGCTGGCGTCACACTTTCAAGAGTATTACCCCGAGCAGGACAAAAAAGGATGAGATGGCGTGTCTGCATTGCAAGTGCTGGATGCGACCTTGGGAGATAAAAAGGAGCGACTTCCCTTTCGTCTTCCAATGAGCGGTTAACAGTTCAACATACACCCTACTCACTTGGGTATAACCAGCTCAAGCTAATCCCACCACCTATTGCCTTTGTTCCGTCCTTGCTCTTTGTCTTCAATAATCAACATTTCACAATGCCCAAGTCCGTCCTCTTCCTCGGCGCAACCGGAGGCGTAGGCTTCTCTGCCCTCCAGCGCTCCCTCGCTGCCGGTCACTCCTGCACAGCCCTCTGCCGCACGCCTTCCACCCTGTCCTCCCGGCTCCCCGCCGAAGCCGACCAGAGGTTGCTGCGGATCGAGCAGGGCAACGCCCACGACGTCGATGCTGTCCTCCGCGCTCTTCTCCCATCACCGCCCTCACCCCACCAGAGCCTCCCAGATATGATCGTCTTCTCCATCGGCGCCTACTTCAACCTGTCCAAGATGGGCATGGACGACGGCCATGTATGCGAGAATGGAATCAAGACGGTCTTAGCTGCTTTGCAGAAAGCCAGGACGGAACATAACCTGCAGGGCAAGCCGCGGATTGTCGCCCTGAGCTCCACAGGTGTCTCCGATTTTGGGCGAGATGTGCCGTTATTATTTGTCCCATTGTATCATGTCGGTCTGAAGGTACCCCACAAGGACAAGAAGGCCATGGAAAATTCTCTGATCAAGAGTGAGGAGGAGTGGACGATTGTAAGGCCAAGTTTGTTCGTTGACGGCGCTAAGGATGGCTCCAAGCGGGAGATCAGGGCCGGAAAGGAGGATCCGATCCAGGGCGCGGTAGAGAGTACGGCGGTAGGCTACACCATTAGTCGGGAGGA